AAACAACTTTAATTACCAAGAGGATATAAAGATTTTCAGTTATGATGTATAATTAAACAGTTTCCCAGTTTTCGTCAGTGGCTAATTGGGAAAGTCTGGCATGTTAACCACCTTAATACGACTCTGTAGGTCAGAATGCAATAATGAGTCAGTGTGTTCAGTGTCCTCTCAGTCCAAAATAAACGGTTAAAAAAGAAATAAACTACTATGTGTAAATTTGCACACTAGCTTAATATAATATTTAGCTCCACAAAGCACCTTTTTTTAGATTTAATCTTTGAATTTAAATGTAAAAACTTTGGAATTATTTCTACAAAGATGGTTAACGGTGACTTTTAAATCCTCTTTAAGAGCCTTTTTTTTGTATTAGGTTTTATTTGTCAGGACCAAATAGTGAAAGACCAGTCACCTTCCACTTCCACAGTCTGTAACTAATCTGAGAAAAAGGCAGATCAATGTTAGGTCACATGTTAAGCCCTCACAGCAGTAAATACGGAACAAAAATTTGTCACGATAAAACAATGTCCTTTTCATCCACACAAACAGTGAAGTGTAGAAATGTTGATCACACAGATGATTATCTTAAATAAACAACTCAGAAAGGCCTGTCATACTGGTTTCTGAGCATGCTGCTGTCCCGATTCGTGATGTTGAGAGCCAAAACAAAATACCAGAGGCCCAGGAGGATGCAATCAAACAGATGAGTTTATTGAACACACACGCGTGGGAAGATGCACACTGCAAAACATCAGATGTAGATCTCCCCCCAAAAATACACTTCAGATTGCTTTTATAACGTCAGGGTTGGTTAACGCCCCTTCTCGCGTTGTACAAGAATATAAATTGTATTTTAAGAACATCGTTTGCATGTTTTATAGACAATGAGCAATCTTAAGAGATAAATGTAGACACTGAAGTTCCCCTCTCTAGCATCTTCTCCAAATATGGCGATGGATTCAGGCTCTGACGTTTGCCATGGACTGGTCCTCCTAGGCAAACTCAGATGCAACAATAAGCTGGATACATTCAGGCCTTCACTCAAGCCTGTTTCTAGATTATATGGATTATATGTGTTTTGTAGGCGTGTATGCAGTTTTAACCTTCTACAGCTCCAAGTCACTTACACAATAGATTGTCCAGACATCGCGCCGAACAAAGCTTACAACCTCCAATTAATTGACCGAGCTCCAACTCTTTAATAAGCACA